TTTGTCTTTATTCACGTTGTCCTTTTACAGATATACTCTCTCTCTCTGGAATTTTTACATTTATAAGCCAAGAGGAAAATATCTTATGCCAATGTTTTTCATTTCTTGAGGCACTTTATCAAAGCAAGGAATGACATGCATTAGCATAAAAGCTTTTACTCATGTCTTTAGAGATATATTTATATCTGAATTTTTATATACACACACAAACACACACACATGTTAATCATACTTATTGGATCCAGAGGAAGATTTTGTAAAAGAAAGAAAAAAAAATGTTTCTGGTGGCAAAAGGGAGGATCTACCTCTTCTGTTCTACAGAAATATCTTTCATAATAAGATACCATTTGTAACTGTACAGTGTAAGACTATAATTTCTTTTATTATTAATGTCCAAGCAAATAAAAAAAAATATATGGATGCTTTAAAAAGCAAGTTAACAATTTTTTCCCATAAAAATACATTTTCTACTTTTCATAATATTTCTTCCCTAGAAATGTGTGAGTTCCTTTTATGATACTAATTGCTTTACAAAGTTACTGTACATGTCCATTGTCACTGAAGATGAGCACTGACAAAATTGAATAACAACAAAAATTGTAAAATAGATATTTCTTTCATTTTGCTATAAGAGATTATGTGAAGCCGATAAAAAAAGTTTTGCTTTACTTGTGCTGATAATTGAATCAGTTTCACATAACTTGACTCTGATGGGAATAACACTTATGACCATCAGTACTCAGGAATTGTATTACCATCAGTATAACCAGTTCGGTCCAAGTTTTGACCTTTTACCAAGCAGAAATTGTTACTTCCGCTCATATGTAAAGAGGCTTTGCTTTTAATGATATAAGGGGAAAAAAAACATAAAAAATAGGGGGAAATTGTTTTGGAAATATATTTTGTAAATTAACATTCTTTAGAAATTCTGTAGGCTGTGGCACTTGTCATAATTGAAAAATATGGATTTTTTATCGATATTGTGGGGGGGGGTCTGTTTATAATATCAGTATAGTGTAAAATCAATCCCTGACTTTTACAGAGTTATTGGAATAAGCTGTTTTGTGTATGAAAAAACATTTACAAAAAGATTGTTTAAATAAAGAACAAACAGATATATACATTTGTAATTAAGGAAAAAAAAATTTACATAATAAAATTATCCATTTATTCTAAATTTTAGTTAAATAATTATTAACCTCTAATGTTTGTGCATGTGCTAATGAAGATGTTACCCCATTTTTCAAACTTGACATGTAGATAACAGCTTAGTCTGGGGGTTCCCAACCTTTTTCATATCATCACCTACTTTCACATTGAAAAATATCCCACTGCTCACCTGTATAAGTAAATATTCAAAAGCATACAGAAATTGTTTAGTAAATGTTTGTTCTTTTCATTTTATGTGCCATGTCCTTTCAGGATGTAGGCAATCATGGCTCTCCACCTCCCTGTATCCCTTGCAGCTTTCAGCAAGCTCCTTCACTCTGGTTCCTCCCCCAAACCGTGTGTTGTCATCCACTTGCTTAAATCTGCCAATTATGTCACTTTTCTTGCTTTCCCTCTATTCCACCTGTGAGTATCAGATTCTCCAGTCCCTTCTTCCTCATTATGTGTCCCAGAAACTTCAGTTGCCTCTTCCTGATATTAAGTATAAGCCTTCTCCTTGTTTGCAACCTCTCTAAGACCTCATTGTTACTCACATGCTCGGTTCATGATATCCTTAACATCCTTCTATAGAACCACATCTCTTTTGCCTCAAGTCTCTTCTTCATCTTTGAGGAAATCATCCAACATTTGTTGCCATAAAGAAGAACAGATGTCACATAACAGCTCAGTATTCTTTTCTTTGTTACCAAAGAAATCCTCCTCTCGCAATACTCTGCTCAGCTTTTGGAATGTGTCCTTGGCCATCCCAATACATCTACCGATCTCAGTGTCGCACTTAACGTACTGGTTAATAAATTGACTTTATGTTGTAGTTAAAAATACCAAAGAGAAGTAACAAATAATGCTTACTTATGCAGCGGTTTCTGCTGCTAATATTAAAGAATGATTGAAAGCAAACTTGAGCATTGAAATTTCTCTCTATATAATTTAGTTTTATGGTCAAGGTTAGTCATATGGTTACAGTTAGTTTTGACAAAAAAGTTAAACGAGTTTTGTTTATAACTATAAAATTAAAACGAATATACACCACGAGCAACAAATAAAAATTCAGTGAATATTTTTTTGTTATTCTTTGTCTTCCCTTATTTGATTTATATCTGAAAAAAAATGTTATTTCATCTGAAGAACTATTTGAATATTAATGACCCTTCTCAAAACTATAGAAAATACCAAAGTATTCATTGTTCGCGGAGATATTTACATCTTCTCTCAGGATGTGCCCCAGTTGCTCCCATTTAGCCACAAGTTTCTTTGCATAACTCCTTTGAATATTTTTTTTCCATGTAACATATGTTGAAATACTTTTTAATACTCAAAATCCTATATCACCCACCATTTTCTGTTCAGTTCTTCATCATCCACTCTACAGTTGAAATTGCCCACTAGTGGACGATATTGTCCAGATTGGGAAACCCTGGCTTAGTCTAATAACTCTGTAAAAGTTAGGGACTGATTTTACACTGTATTGATAGTATGAACAGAAACTCACATCTACAATAATAAAAAAAAAAAAATATTTTACAGCAGAGAGATGAATAAAAACTGCTAATCAACAAAAATTATTTCCCAAAATATTTTTCCCTATTTTTTATGAGTAGATTGGTCTATTTAAGTAATGCAATGGGCTTGCTATCAGACATTTGGCATTTTTGGAACATACTCCAAGTGATATGTGCTATATATAGTCTGGAAGTAGACAGTTTTGGAATTTTAGAACGGGTCTAAATTTGTCGTAACTACAAGTATTTGTCTAGTTATGATTATTTAAAATTAATCAACACTCACACATGTTTAATCATTTTTGTAGGTCAATTCTGGGTTGTTGCTTTTTTTCTGCTTCTTTTTGCTTGAAAAGTGATTAGAATCTTGTTGAAATGAATGTTGAAAGTGACTGACAGATTTAACTTTACACTCTTTTTAAAAAAATAATCTATATCATTTAATTCAGTCAACACAATCTTTTGCCATATTTTGCCTGCTTTTTTGTCTCTGACCCTGCCAACTTCAAATAACACCAATAAAAAAAATGCCCAAGAGAAAATTTTTCTCCTTTTTAGTGTAAGTTCACAAATATCAAAATAATTTAAATCTGCAAAATGTCCAAAAATTATTCTTGAAAAGATGTTTAAAACTTACTCAGTTCCTTTCATACATTAAATTTATAATTACCTGCTTTTGGCACCATATGCCAGACGTCAAATACCAATTTTTAATATAATTTTCTTAGTATTATCAGAAAATCATGATCTAGATCAGTGTTTTTCAACCTTTTTTTTCTTTGTGATCCATTTTTGGTGTCAAAAAGATTTGACAGGCCCACATAGAAATTCCATGTAACAGGAAATACATTTTATTTACAAAAGTAAAATGTAAAAAGAATATAAATTGTGACTAATGACTACACTACTCCCGGTGTCTCCAGGCCCATTTAAAATATTTCTCAGGCCCACTTTTGGATCCAAGAGACCACATTGAGAATCACTGGTGTAGACCTTTATTCCTATATATTTTGAGTGTGCTAAATTCCCAAACAAGTGTAAATGGGTTAAATGTAAAATTTATGCTCTTTGGGAGAATTTGGGCTCTTCACTGCTGACCTTATTTTTTAATTAGAAATCTTAAGTATAAATAATATTAATACAATTCCATAATTGTTCAGAAAATCATTCAGGGGCTCAAAAACTACAAATTTCTGCTTGGCTGCATCTAATTACTACCATCTCCTTTACAGAGATCTTTTTTTTTTTTTTTACACATTGATTCAAAAAGGTTAATGACAAAAATTGTACTCCATTTGGTTAACAAATATTAATATTTTGTGACATTTGGGTAGCACCTTGTATATATGAGCACCTTATATGCCTGTAAGAATAGACAACTCATAATATATATATATATATATACATATATATATATATATATATATATATATATATATATATATATATAATATATATATATATATATAATATATCAGGAGGAGTTCATCTTCTGTGAAAGCTTTTTATTGTTGAATTAATTTTTGAGTATGTTATTCTTTCATGATTTTATTTTTGTTACAAAGAGGAACTAAATATACGAGGTCTGATCAAAAAGTATCAAGACTGTTGCTATGGTAACAGAGCTAACATATGCAAAGTTAAGACATTTGGGACTGATTAACCTGGAACTCTGTTGTGCATGCACACTAAATTGTCCTCACTCACCTCCATTATTTATAGCAGTGCTTGGAAGGAAAGTGTGTAGAGTGTGGTCATCTCAGCACACCACAGATGTTCCATCAGTGACCATGGCAAAGAAAATTGAACAGATAAGCTGCATCAAATTTTGCCAAAAGTTTGGTGATACCTGCACAGAGGCCTATGTAAAGTAGCAGAAAGTGTATGAGCCAGACACAATTATAAAAGTGGTTCAAACATTTCTAAGATGGCCACCAAAATGTTAACAGTCATGCACATTCTGGGAGACCCACAACCAACAAAGACTGAGGAAAACATGACAGCTGTGTGTGCAGCTGTTCAGAAAGATTGTCAAATCACCATATATGAGTTGTCAGATGATACAAATATTAGTTATTGTTCAGTTCAGTCCATTCTCACTAAAGATTTGGGTAGGAGACTTATGTCTGCCAAGTTTGTGCCAAAACTGCTTTCAGTTAACCAAAAAGAAAATCATATTCCAGCTGCACAGGATTTCCTTGATGGTGTTGAGGAAGAGAAAAAAAAAGCTTTTGAAAATAGTCGTAACAGGTGACAATCTATGGCTATGACCCTGAATCCAACAATTCGCAGTGAAAGACCTCAACCTTTCTGGCACCTAAGAAATCACAAATGAATCGAAGCAATGTAAAGACACTGTTGATTGTTTCCTTCGACTACAAGGGCATTGTTCATCATATGTATGTTCCACTTGGTCAGAGATTAAACAAGGAGTAACTAGCATGACATGCTGTGGCATTTGCAGGATGCTGTTTATGAAAAGACAGAATTGCATGAATCCTGTGAGTATTCCATTTGGTTAACAAATATTAATATTTTGTGACATTTGGGTAGCACCTTGTATATATAAGCACCTTATATGCCTGTAAGAATAGACAACTCATAACATATATCATATATATATATTCATCTTCTATATATTAGAAAGCTTTTATTGTTGAATTAATTTTTGAGTATGTTATTCCACCATGACAATGCACCTGACTATTCAGCACAGCTTGGGTAGCAGTTTTTGGCAATGCACAACATTCCCCAGAGCCAACAATCATCATATTCCTCAGATCTTGCCCCTTGTGATTTTTTCCTCTTTCCAAAAATCAAATCCCATTTGAGAGGAACAAGATTTCAAGACATTAGGGAAATTCAAGAGAAAGCAACAAGGCAGCTGTTTGCTAACCCCCCAAAAAAAGAGTTCCAGGAATGCTTCCATCAGTGGAAGCAATGCAGGATAAAGTGTGTGGCTTCAGAAGGGGACTACTATGAAGGAGATTAAATGTCAAACTGAGATGTGTTGTAGTTTTATCTTTATAGCAGCATTCTTGATACTTTTTGATTAAACTTCATAATATATATATATATATATATATATATATATATATATATATATATATATATATAATGTAAGTTTGACATGTCATAATTTGTAAAAATGGGAGAGAAATAAAATGAATACATAAGGAAAGCAAGACAATGCAGTGGACAAAACAAATAGACTTTAAATCATTTGAATTTCTTAAAGCATTTTCATTATTAATTATTGACAAGTGTATTTTTATCATATTTGCTTTTATTGCAATGCTCAGCTTATTTTATATTCTACTATGGTTCAGTAAGCAGCATAAATTAGGAAAAAAGATATAGGCTTGAACTAAATTTGAACTCACATCTCAGATCTTTGAGAGCCCATCTCATATGGAGAGCACCTTACCAATTTTGGCCAGCATTATAGATTATATTTTTTTTGCCAGAAATGTCTCAGTCCTGAAGTGGCTAATGAGATATCTTGCCAGAAATGTTTCAGTCCCAAAATAGCTAATGAGACATGTTTCCAGAAATTTCTCAGTCCTGAAGTGGTTAATGAGATGTCTTGCCAGAAATTTCTCAGCCCTAAAGTGACTAATGCAACATCCTGCCAGAAATGTTTCATTTCTCAAAGTGGCTAATAAAACACCTTGCCAGAAATGTCTCAGTCCCAAAATAGTCAATTTTTGATTAGTTTATCTTTTATGGTTACCTTTTATCACAATGCTTATAATTTTTTTTTTTTTTTTTTTTACAAAGGCCAGATGTAAGTTCAAATCTCAGAACAGAGGCTACTTGTCTAATTCCAATTATTATAACCCATGCAGTATATTTTACCGTGAGATAAGAAAAGGAAACTATGGCATCTCATTAATAACTACAGACATTAGGGATTGTCTTCACTCCTACCCTTTATGTGATATGGGGAGGTACAATTCAGAGAATGAAATCTCAGTGTTAAACAACTTTTTTGTGACTTCTACTTACTGATAAAAGTTGAAATCTAGATTACTTTCTTCTACATTATCTATATATAGAGACTTTTGACTTACTCTATCATACAAATGACCATCATCATCTCTCTTCCTCATCAATAAGTTTCAGTTGGTTGGTTCACTTGGCTTCCTCAGGTGTTTATCATATCCAATAAGTTTGACTTTTTTTCCAGCTTTCCCATCTCAATCTTTTTGCATGTACATGGATTAATAAGCTTTTAGCCTGACATAGTTATTAGCATATTTCTGATCTGAAATTTTCACTGTATAATGTTAGATCTCAGTACATTGACAAAAAGAATATAAAAGCTAAATACTGTGTAAAATAAATGATTTTCTTTTGTCAATGGACATCTTGACACACATATTTGTGTGTGTGTATATATACACCTTGTGTATTTATGTTTGTAACTTTTTGCTATTCTAGAGTTGTCCCCCTTACACTGACAAGTGATAGTGCATTTGTTTCAAGATGTTTATGAGGTAAAAGAGCAGCGTGAAACAATAATAATTGTAAAAAGTAAATTTAATGTCCCATATGTGAAAATCCAATCTCAGAGATTCTTGACTCAACAAAGAAGGGACTGATCTATGGCCATGAAGCATGTATGTCAGTTCATATCTTCACTCCCACCCCCCAGTTCAACCCAATTGGCACATCTTTTTTCTCCTGATGCTAACCTCCAGGAGAGCAACACATTGTTTTACATTTTCTACTGACATGATTTGGAGTGATTGTCTTGAATCAATTGCTAGAAAAGTTGGTGCATTGTGTCATGCTAGACAATTTTTCTCATCAGAATCTATCTTGCACATTTATAAATCTACCATTCGTCTGTGCATTTAATATTGCTGCCATATCTGGACTGGTGTTCCAACTAAATATATTGAGATTCTTGACAGAATTCAAAGAGTTTGTAATGTTATCAGTCCTGACCTGGCATCTCAATTTAGGTCACTTTTTCCACAGCATTGACAAATGATTGTGTTCAGGGGAACATGCAGGCCACAGAACAAGTCCTCTCCTACCTATCCATCTTTCATGGTAGATGTCAGCCAGTGCATCACAAACTAAAATGTGCTGAAGCCCCATCATGCATGAACCACATGTGTCTTCATATTAGCAGGGGTACATCCTCTAGCAGGTCAGGAAGTATGTTGAAATAAAGTCCCTGTAGACAGCTCCTGTAAAACATGCTGGGAGAACATCTGGACCTACCAGACAGTTACCTATAATTCCAGCCCACATATTAATTGTAAACTGATGCTGGTGTCTAGCTTGTATTGTACCATGGGGATTTTGATCCACCCACACATGTTGATTGCGTAAATTTGTTATTCCATCTCTTCCAAATGTTGCCTCATGCATAAAGAGACAAACAACAGATTGGCAATTTGTGCAATAAACCATCAACAAAAGTTTTTCCATGGTAAGTGATCAAATCTTGAAGTACTCTCTATGCACTACTATGAGATGTATGACATGCTAGGGCCACTTGATATGTGCTGATACCTGGATCATCACTAACAGCCTGTAGAATGTATTCTTCGTGGTCAGGTGTACAAGTGGATCTCGGTCTTCTTCAATCCATAGTTTGTGATGCCACAGATCCTGTCTCAGCAATGTGATGATAAACTGCAGCAAAGGTTGGATGACTCAGCTGCCGTCAGTCTGGAAAAGCAACCTGATACAGCCATGCAGCTTCACATCCATTACCATAGCCGTATATAAAAATCATAACTACATGCTCATGATATGAATATCCTGCCATTGTTAAATGGAACACTTGTCAGTTAACTCACTACTGCACACATTAAATGTTGAAGACTAGCCACAAATGTACACGAATGACAAATGTAACCTAGTCTACATGGCAAAACAGCACCATCTACTGTAAACTTTCTTTAAACTTAATAACTCAAAAATGAAGGATTTGCAGACATATATGGACTTTTGTCCTTATTTTGGTGTGAGGAACCTGCCCCCAAATTTTGTAAAAGTATTAATTATAAAAGTATTTTTGAAACACCTGGTGTATGTGTGTGTGTGTCTATGTGTGTATGTATGTATGTATGTATGTGTGTGTGTGTGTGTGTGTGTATGTATGTATGTATGTATACATACATGTATGTATATGGTTGCCACATTATTACAGTTGGTATGACGTTTGCCTGTCAATGTAACTGTCAGGGTTTCAATTCTTGGTAGTGGATGCGCACTCCTGATGAGTCCCAAATATAGGACAAAACAGCTGTCCAGTGCTTTCTGCATTCTGTTGAGGTTTCTTCTAGACTCAATGAATTATATATATATATATATATATATATATATATATGAGGTAGTATGAAAAGTTATTAAGTTCTGAAATGAACATGCTTTCCCCTATATTCAATCTTAATTCAACACACATGACCCTTTGTCTCTCAGGTTTCTTTAATCCTTCCAAAACTTTGACTAATAAGTCCCCTGAAATAAGTCATAATCATTTCTCTAATGTTCTTATCAACACTGTTTTTTAATCATTTAGCATTCAATATGCCCAAACCCTCCTTGTAAATATCAGCTCTCAATTCAACTCTCCGCATTTATACTCTGCCAATATATATATATATATATATATATATATATATATATATCTATGACATCATCACAAATAATGCAGGAAGTCATGCAGTGAGACTTTGATCACAATGAGACTTTAATCTCAAACAGTAAGATTTTGAAAGGCGATATTTATGGGGCAGGTTTGAGCATGTTGAATGCTAAAGGGTTAAATGTTTATAAAAATTTTGTACTTATTTCCGTTTTCCCAAATAAGAGTTGCCAAAGATATTTCTTATGAAATTAAAAAAGTAGAGCCAGACACTGCAGCAAAGTCCATTTGTATTCACTCATAAGTTTTAGATGGTGGTGGCGGTGGGGGAAAGGTTGAGTTTTCTTACTTTCATTGGAGATAAACTCGAATAGTTTGCTGACTTTAAAATTGACTGTTTGCACTTCATTCAATACTTCTACTGTAAAAGTATAGAAATTTCAGTTTATTTAACAATCTTTTCTCAAATCACTTTCTTAGATGATTTTTTTGTTTGTTTTAGTTGTTTTTACCCTATGTACCCTCTCTACCCCAAAATGTAATTAAATCTGTTCCTCCTCTCATTATGAAAAAGAATTTATCAAACTTATTAAAATTTGAGGAAAATACTGGTCATGAAAATGTTACCCTTACTGATTGCAGAATGATAGCCCATGTGCTGCATGTCTGAGATCCCTGATCTGTAATATCTCAGGATTTTTTTTAACTAAGATTTGTCAATCATCCAAATTTAAGAATATGATTCAACATGAATATGATCAACGGTATCAGGAATTTAAACTCTTAGATTGTGTCTCACAATC